TACAGTGACTCTGTGTATTCCTTCCATCTTCTCTTGATGCTTTCTGCATCATTCAATAATTTGCCCAGATAATCTTTCAATAAAGTCGAGGCTTGGATTTTTTCTTCAGTTCCCCCAGCTTGAGAAATGCTGAGCGTGTTCTTCCTTTTTGGTTTCCTGACTCCAGATCTTTGCCCATTTTGCTGTAATATTTGGCTTTATCTTCTCCATCTGATCTTTGAAATTTTCTGTTGAGCTCTTGGACCTCTTCATTTCTTCCATTTGCTTTAGCATCTCTATGGCGGAGAGCAAGTTTCAGTTTTTCTTCTGACATCCATTTTGACCTTTTCCTTCTTTCTTGTCTTCTCAATGGCTTTTTGTTTTCTTCATGTATAATATTCTTGATGTCATCCCATAACTCTTCTGGTCTTCGGTCTTTAGTGTTTTATGTATCAAATCTGTTCTTCAGATGATCTCTAAATTCAAGTGGGATATATTCAAGGTCATATTTTGGCTCTTCTGGACTTATTTTCATTTTTTTCAGCTTCAGTTTGAATTTAAATATGAGCAATTGATGGTATGTTCCACAGTCTGCCCCTGGCCTTGTTTGGACTGGTGATATGGAGCTTTTCCGTCGTCTCTTTCTGCAGATGTAGTCAATTTGATTTTTATGTATTCCATCTGGTGAAGTCCATGTGTATAGTCATCTGTTATGCTGTCTAAAGAAGGTATTTGAAATGAGCAAATCATTGGTTTTGCAGAATTCTATCATGCGTTCTCCAGCATCATTTTCTAGCTCCAAAGCCATATTTTCCAAATTACTTCCTCTTTGCTCCCAATCTTTGCATTCCAATCACCAGTAATGATCAATACATCTTGATTGCATGTTTGATCAACTTCAGAATGAAGAAGTTGGTAGAATTCTTCTATTTCATCCTCACTGGCTTTAGTGGTTGTTGCGTAAATTTGAATAATGGTGGTATTAACTGGTCTTCCCTGTAGGCACATGGATATTATCCTATCACAGACAGCATTGTACCTCATGACTGATCTGGATATGTTCTTTTTGCTGAAAAAGGGAACAAAATTTTATAGTAAGGATCACTCCCACCCCCTTGGTACACAGGGTTGACAGGGATGGGCAACTTAGACATTGGCTATGCAAAATGGCGGGGGGGGGCTATAAAGGCAAGAAGTGACTGGCTTACAAGCTTTCAAGAGGGAGCCTAGTTCCAGACGGGGCAGGGATAGGTAGAATCTCCACGGAATGATTTCCAATCTGTTGGGACAGAGCTGGTGAAAGGAAATGGGGATAAGACTCTTGTGGTACAATAGTGAATAATTGCCATCAGGACTGACTGTGAGGGTCAAAAATGTAGAGGTAGATGTTTTTTGACAAAAAGAGGGGAGTGATTGATTTTGCAGCCTAGAAGCGGAGGTCCCTGGGACCTTCAAGAGAGAACGGAGAACATGACCCTACCCAGAGAGGCAGTGATGCCAGGGATGGAGACAGAAATGATGACATGGACAGATGGAGCGGCTGGGGACACTGGACTCAGGGAGGGAGAGAGTCTGTGTACTGATGGCCGGGGTGGGGGCAGTGAGCCTGTTGGGTGTATCCTTTGGTTATTTGATGAAGCATGGAGGGGATTGTGATCATTGCAATAAAACGAAATACGATAGGATGAATTTAAACTGATGTTCTTCCATGTAAACCCACAAACCCACATAATTCACAATAAAAACTTAAAAAAAAAAAAAGTTTGTGGCAAACTGGAAGATAATGGAATTTTTCCATGAACTTTTGGAAGCCTCCACATAAACTCTGAATAAGAAAAACAAACATGCCAATGATCAAGAAGCTGGCGCAGGACTGGACAAGTTTACATTCTGTCATATGTAAGGTCACCAGGAGTTGGGAACAACTTGTATGCAACTAACAGCAACAACAATGATAAATCTACCAATCACTGAAGCTGAGAGCTTAATGTGGGCCCAAGAGCATTATGCAAAAATGCATAGACTTCATGTACTTCCCCAGAACTGAAGCTGCCAGGGATATGGAGGATTTGGAGAAAATTCAAACTTTGTTTGCTTTTTTAAATCAGCAGTGGAAGTAGGTTCCAAGAATGTGTAAATTTTGGTTGTCACAATAGTCTTTAAGGGTTTATACTACTGTCTTCTACTTCCTCTTTCTTAGCTATCAAGCAATATGCCATTGTAATAGCAATAGTCTTCTCATTACAGATGCTACAAAATCTGTCTGCCTCTGAGGGTCAGCTGGTTGTCTTCGAATGCAGAGTAAAAGGAGCTCCCTCTCCAAAGGTTGAGTGGTATAGAGAAGGGACCTTGATAGAAGATTCTCCAGATTTCAGGATTTTACAAAAAAGTAAGTCGATGTTTAAAAATTATTTTTCTTATAATTTGTACTTTTTTAAAAAATTGTGGTAAATGCATATGTAACAAAGCATTTGACATTTTTACGAACTTTGCATCTAAAATTCAGTGGCATTATTAACCGTCACCTTTAACCATCCCTGAATTGTTGGTAATTTGTTCTTAGACATCGATTTTTACAACTACTTAACAACTAGCTAAAAACGGGAATGATCAAAAGAGTAAACTAAAATCACCTACAATCCTGCTTCCCCCCAAATCCCAAATACTGTTAAATTTTGATGCAATCAGAATTTTTCTATCTGTATGTTTCAGAATTTAAAAAATCATACTCTGTAATTTTTATTTACCCATTTCATGAACATCTTTTCATGTTAATTATTTTTAAATTTTTCTTTAAATTATTTTAAAAATAAATTGGCAACATTCAATTACATATTTAGTTAGTCTATTGTAGAGAAGGAGCTCTGGTAGCGTAGTGGTTACGAATCGGGCTGCGAATCTTAAGGTCAGTGGTTCGAAACTACCAGCTGCTCCGCGGGAGAAAGATGAGGCTTTCTACTCCAGTAAAGATTTACACCCTCAGAAACCCTGTACAGGGTCGCTATGGGTCGGAACCGACTCAACGGCACTTAACAACAACAACATTGTAGAGAACATAGATTGTTCACTAGTTTTAATTATTCTAAACTGCATATCAATGCATGTTCATAGAGCAAATTTTTATGAATATCTATAGTTATAACCTTGAAATAAATTTCTAATACTGGAATTGCTCATATAAATTCACATTTGCTTCTTGAGGAGGGCTTCAAAAAGTTCATGGGAAAAAAATAGAATGAAAAGTTTTTGAATTGTATGTTGTCAAGATGCCATCCAAAGGTTGAACTATACAACGACCACACAACAAATCATGCAAACTGGGACAGTTTTTAAAGTGAAAGAGAATGCTATTACTAATTACACAGGGACGCCAGGCATAAACCATATCAACCCCAGTTAAACTGGGACACATCCTGTCCTACCTATATTAGATCTTCACCAAAATGGGCATTAACTTTTTTTTTTTTTCCTTTCCACCTTCATAAATTTTATAGGCCAAAGTTGTCCCGGGACCACTTGTTTTAATTTGCCTTTTATCAATTAGATGTGGGATGGACCTCTTTTTCATATTTGACTGGGTCTTTGTATTTCTTATTTATATATTCAAGTGGTTTGTTTTAAATTTCTTATCATGTGTATTTATGTAGTGCTTTCACTTCGTTTCTACCATATAATACATTGAAATTGATTGGCTGCTGTGTTATTTCTTTCTACCTATCACAAAATAATAGTATTTAAATTAATCCAACACATGAATCAGAACTATCAAGTTTTACCACCAGTTGGAGCAACAATACTATATTGTGGAAACCATTTAAAATGAAAAGGAAAAAACTTCAACAGTTTTGTTAGTGTAAAAGATTGTAAAGTTCAGCGAATTGTTATTAAGTGTCTGCAATTTTATAAACATTCATCAAATACCTTATTTGGTACTGCACTGGGCACTTTCAGGAATACCAAAGAATTTTAAGATAAAGAGTCCGCTCTCAAGGAACCTATCTTGATGTTCTTGATGAGCAGGAGGCATATTCTACATTATTTTAAGATGGTAGAGCCCAAAACCAGAAATGTCTTCTCAATCATCATGAACCCTTTTTCAAATAATAGATGGAGTACCAATAAAAGCAGGTTGGTTGTCAGTCCCATCTAACACTGTAAAATTTCCCCCCTTAGGTAGGAAAACTTACCCTAAGTGAAGCTCAGGTGTGTCCCCACGTGTGGTATCATAACTGCTCTTTAGCTGCCACCCTGTGATGCTCATTCTGTCTTTGTTGCTTAGAGTGCTGTAAGAAGCTTCTGATGAATAGATAGGTCCTTAATAAAACAAATGCTCACAAGCCTCTTGTTTTTGTTTTTTTTCTCCCTCTTTCAGAACCTCGGTCCATGGCAGAGCCAGGTAAAAGATCTTTTCTATTTTAATGCACAAGTATGTGTTCAGTGATTTGATAAATGTATGATAACGAATAGGAATTACTCCTTTGTCAAGAACAAGGAAAAAATTAGGAAAAGTTTTAGATAAAAAGAACCAAACTGATTCTAGCTATTACTATAAGGAAAGGGAAAAAGGGGAACATATGAAACTTTGGAATACCTATATTCAATATCCAATATGAAGAGTCTGTTACTTGGTAATTGAAGAGTGTTTCTTAAGAATATTTTATCTCTGTGCTCAGATTCTACCTATTCATGACTTCTTAAATGAGGCAGAGTAATTTCCATAATGTTAGGTCAACTCTAATTCTACAGCTTCTATGTCTCTAAGCTTGCATATCAGATTTAGAAATTTGCAGAGCTTCAATAAAATGCCTGTGATGTTATTAGGTTTGGTTGGGAGGATACTAGAGATGAGCTGTAAGTAACATTTTGTAGGTAAAGTTCTTACCTCTAAATAATGCAAGGCACTCACAACCCACTTATATAAACATCTAAATGCCATCTCTGGTGACCATCTTGAACAATCTGATTATATCTGTATCCCTTGGAAGAATTTTATTATTATAATTCTCTTTTCTGACAACTGAATGGAAAGACATTCCAGAAGTCAACCCTGGACATCTGCATTGCAGACCTGGCCCTTGGGGAATACATAATGAAAACCAGATGTAGTTTTTCCTCTTGAACTGCTTGTAGTGAAGAGTATTTTACCCTTGAAAATATTTTAGAACTTTAACACTTCCATCCCAAACTGGATTTTTCATTAGACAGTCCCATACAGAAAATAATTTCAGAGTCATTCAAAAAAGGTCTCCACTCCAAACAACTACAATGGCATAATTCCTAAAGTTTCCAGTTAGAGAGTGCTTTCTTACTGGTTATATAAGCAAATACCCTTTCAAAACAGATTATTATATCTTAGCAGACCAATATAGTATAGAGTAGTGAGAATGAGTTTATCAGATCATTTTCTGAGAGCAGGAGTCTGAATATTTCAACAGGGAAACAAGAAAAAGAAGCCCAGACCAAGGGCTTAGAAAAAGACAGAGAGGCCCTAAAAGAAAGATTTGCCTTCCCATCATTTAAATTCTTTGGGTAGCAAGTAAAGAAGGTCTGACTTAGCCAATTTAAGCAACAACAACAACAAAAATTATTTTTCCACATAAAAAGAATCCATAAGAAATGCAGCTCAGTAGTCACCAGCGGCTAAACCTTTTTTTTTTATTTAAATTCCATTCTGCCATCGCAGATGACAATATCAACAGACAAAAATAGGGAATACCGCTACCTTTTGTCCCGCATAAAGAATAAGGAAAACTTGCCGAGACTCTCACCAGCAAACTTGCCCTCACATCTCAATGACCAAATTTTTGCCACCACTTAGCAAAAATACACAGACTTGTACAAATTGGAATTCACCACTCAAGGCCAAGAGAGGCCAGCTTGCCTTAAAGCCCATGGGAAAGCATCCAGGAGGGTGGGACAATACCAGCATGCTATTAAAAAGGAAGAAAGGGTGAGAGGTTATTGACTAAGGCACTCAATACTGTCTGTATCAGTCTCCTGGCCAGCTTTCTTACAGGTAGTTCAGCTCATCATTCAGTTTCATTCTCATGAAGCACTGAGATGCCCCTCTGAATACAATCTGCATTTTAATAACTTTGTTTTTAATGTCTGGTGTATTGAATGATATCTGAGGGGGTTATACTACTGTCTTATACTTCCTCTTCTTCAGTTATCAAGGAATATGTATTGTAATAACTTCAGGCTTCAGTAGGATGGCTCTATCTTGGAATCAAGCTGTGTAATTATTGGCAGGGGCTTATACCGTCTATCAGAATAATCCATAAAGAATATCCATAGCATTATAACAGAAGATAATCATTTCACTCTTCTTTTATTCCAAATTTCAAATGACTCTCTCAGCTAAATACTATTAGCTCCTTTTCTAGAAGTGCTATGTCAATCTCTCTGAAGCAAAAAAATGGATCTGTTATCCAGTTGTAAATTGTGGCTTTTGTTTGAAATTGCCTCACTGCCTAAGTTCCCCATGAAAACAGAGAGAGGCCTGGATTTAGAAATGCCTTATTGGTCCCTTTCTTTAACTTCCAGGCTTTGATTCTTCACTTGTTTTTGTGGCTTTTCATGTCGATTGTTACTCTATTCTATTTTCTGTCTTCTGGACTCATGCTATAAAATTAGAAGATAGCCTGACAATCGATGATATATAACTTACTATATTATTATTATGTGGTGGTGGTGTGATATGGAGTCAGTTCCAACCTATAGCGACCCTGTACAGGGTTTCCAAGGCTGTAAATCTTTACAGGAGCAGAAAGCCTCATCTTTCTCCTGCGGAACAGCTGGTAGTTTTGAACTGCTGACCATGAGATTAGCAGCCCGATTCGTAATCACTACGCTACCAGAGCTCTTTACTTTGTAATTCCCTTTTAATACAGATCAGTTTGTTTGTATGCAGTTATTGGATCTTCATCCTTTGACTCATTCTACCTGCTAATCCATCAATTCAATCAAATAATTGTTTTAACTGATTACGTTAGGAAAATTTAAATAACCAGTTTCTTACATTAATCATGATCTGATAGCAGTATATTCCATAATTAACCATTCTGTTTTATTGGCCTCTAGAGGAGATCTGTACTTTGGTTATTGCTGAGGTATTTGCAGAGGATTCTGGGTGCTTCACATGTACTGCAAGCAACAAATATGGCACCGTGTCAAGCATCGCACAACTAAATGTGAGAGGTAAGGGCTCCTTAAATGCCTTAACAGTTAAGACTTGACCCCCATATAAATATAGAGTTTGTATAAGCCTTACTTACTGATTTCATATGAAACTAGTTTAACTCTCCTAAAAATATTTAAGTTATCAAGGGAAATAATCTTGAACAATATTCCATTTTCCACAGCCTTTTCTTCTTGCATTTAGAATCACCACCACACCATTGCCACAGTTATACCTGCTATTGTCTGTGATGCCCATTGCCATGGATTCTATTCAGACTCACAGTGACCCTAAAGGACAGAGTAGAACTTCCCTACGCATACTCCTCACTTATTGATGACATCATTATTGACATTTCACGTTTACATTGACAGTAAAAGATCTGCCATCTGAGAATTTTGCACTTTAACGACTTAAGTTGGCAATAATGAATGCTGAGGTGTGAGATGAGAGAAATGTGTAAACTTGGCTGGTCTGTGATTCTCAGTTACATAATGACATGATATGGCAATAATGTAACAATGTAGTCATCCTCCATTTTTGCATAACATTGATTTTCACCTAACAACCTGGCCTTTGGAACCTAACTAGTGGGTATATAGGATTTCAAAGGTTATGATGCTCATAAAAACAGACTACCGCATCTTTTTCCCTCAAAGCAGCTGGTGTGTTCTTGTTACAGCCTTTCGGTGAGCAGCCGAGTGCTTTATCACCATGCCACCCACACTCCTTTATACTCCTAAATATCATCTTCTTGGTCTTATAAAATTCCTCTCAAAATAATATTTCGATTTTTAGTTTAGTTCTCTTTTTTTCCCCTGTATCCTCTTCATTCTTTAATGTCCAGATTATGTTCTCTGATTTTGAGAAACATTTTCCCATTAGTATACTCACCCAATTTAAATATTTTTCCATTTGTATAGATGCCCAACTCAGGGATAAGGCTAAGGCTAACCGCTAGGTCCTGTGATTGTCCTTTTAGGAAATGAAGAGCTCAGCACTAATGGGTCTCTTCACTCAGCCAGTTCTATCAACAACCTGACTGCCATCGAGCAGCAGCCGTCTCCACCCAACCCGGAACAACCACCCAAGCCCAAACTCGAAGGGGTTCTGGTGAACCACAACGAACCCCGATCCAGCTCACGGATTGGACTCCGTGTGCACTTCAATCTGCCTGAAGATGACAAAGAAAGTGAAGCATCTTCAGAGGGTGGGATGCCTACCACCAATCACAGCAGGCCCAATTTTTTCCCAGAGAGATTCAATGGACAAGCAGCAAAAATCTCTGAACCTTCTTCGCCCATCAAAGAGCCCCCTCCAGTCCTGGCTAAACCAAAACTGTAAGTAAAAATTAAGATAAAGAACTAAAAGCTTCTGTAAGCATCTCTTGAGTCTGTCCTTTTTAAAATGATGGACCTTGTGAAAGGGAAAATACATATTAAATGCTTTGCAAACACATGCTTACATCAATGTAAGCACCCTATCAGTACCATCTTTTAAATTAATATTCTACCTTCCAGAAATACTACACCTAAACTGGCTCAGAAAGACATTTGTCTAACATCAGAGGCCTCCAGGTAAAACATTCTACCTGCTTATGAAGCCTGTTCTTGTGTCTAATAATCCTAATTGTTTATAGTTTCATCCTTATATTTTCTATTTCTGCTTTAACCTAAGAATCATCAGTTGTTTTTAATGAACCAAGCCTTTTATTTTAGTCTTTTAAAAACAGTTCTTTGCTATTGATGGATGCATGATGGTAACATCAGTAGGTTTCATGTACATATAATAGAATGAAAGAAACAGGAGTCAGAATTTTCAAATTTGCCTTAGGAGCCTGATGTCTCACCCACCTTAACACTCAAGAGTCTGTCAAAACTGTGTTGCAATGTTTAATGTTCATGCATGTCAAAGCAAATACAGAACATGATGATACTATTATGTTCTGTTTCATCAATACATCAAGATGATAGCCATTATGTTTAGAATTATGTAACCCTTTAAATATCAGCATTGGTATCTGCAGTCACGGTGCCCACAGTCTGTGTTTCTCAGTGCCAACTATGGAGTGGTCATTGGAAGCAGTGCATGTTTTTTAGTTTTGTATTTTTCTTACCATTGGTGGTTTGTGCCATAGAGTCAGTTCTGACTCATAGCGACCCTGTACAGGGTTTCTGAGGCTGTAAATCTTTACAGGCACAGAAAGCCTCACCTTTCTCACATGGAAAAGCTGGTAGTTTCAAACTGCTGACCTTGAGGTTCTCAGCCCGATTCGTAACCACTACGCTATCAGAGATAAAGCAAAATTCTGGATGTTACGTTAAATATTACGGAACATGCCTTTCAGCAAGTCTTATCCAAAAATGTCTCTGTCCCCTCAAAATTTCATCACAGTAAACAGGAATCTACTTAAAGTAGATTAAAAAGTAAAAAGTAAAGAAGAGGTCAGTGTAGGAGTATAGGCAGGGATTGAAAACAAAATCCAGCCCGGACCTCAATGGAGAAAGAGAACTGCTCCTCTGTCACTTGGGGGTCACATGGTCAACCCGTTCTCCATTCACAGCACCAAGCTCTCTGAGTACTTCCTTGTTTCCTCTTTGCACATCGGCTCCATTTCTTTTTCTTTGAAGACCCTTCAGTTCACACCTGGCCCATCATGTCAGGTCCTCGCTTTAAATCAGGATCTGTGTCAAGTTCCACTACTAACAGAATCATTCTCTGTGGCTCAGTCCCAAATTCCGATTGGTCTAGTCTGCTCAGGTAACACTCCCACACACACCCTCACACCCCTGTCACCCCCACTCAGCCGTGCAAGGATTTATACTGGGTAAAATAAGAGCCGCACTGTGGTTGTGGGTGGGGGCTGCAGTCAGAGAAGGGAGCTATGGAAAACAGGGAGCCAAAACAACCTTGTGGGATTTGCCTCCTCTGGAGGATTATTGGGATGTCAGTTAGGATTAGTTTAGCACCATGTTACAGAAAACCTAAGCTAACAGTGAAATAAAGACATAAGGGTTTGTTTTCTTTCACATAAAGGAATTAGGTGAGCAGTGTGGAACTGATCTGGTGGCTCCCTAGTCATTAAGAACTAAGCCTCCTTTTGTCTTCTGCTCTACCAGCGTCAGCACTGGTTTCTGCTCCAGATCCCTTTGTGGTCTGGGATGGCTGACTATGGACCACCTGTCTGCATTTCAAGCAGCAGGAAGGGAAAATGGGCAGAAGTACAGGATCCAGATGTCAGCACCCCTTTCTTAGTAGTCCCACCTCAAATCTTCTGCTTAGATCTCAGCTAGAACGTAGTCATAGAGTCTACTGGCTGCAAAGAAGCCCAGGGAATGTGGTCTTTAACTAGATGCATTTCCCACCAAGTGTTCCTTCACAAAAAGGAGACTTGAATGGAAAACTAACCAGCAGTGTCTGCTACACAAGACTTCCAATTAATGTCAAAATATTTCTGCTAAATTCCATAGCAATGCCCTTTAGAAGTCTAATCCTCAGCATTGTATCTTTTGCATGAGTAATTTCTTTTAGAAAGATCAGCACTAGGTTGGACCCTAAGAGTTGAAGGTTAATGATATCCCAACTTTTTAACTTTTCCAACATGTTTTACCATTCCATGATCCTGAATATTACTCATCACTCCTCCCTCCCTCACGTCCCAGGGACCTGCAACATGTTGCAACAGCTCACAAACCTCAGAGCAGTAAGGACAATTGGCTCACACAATTGTATAGACCGGCAAGTCTCACATCTGTAGTGCAGAGATCAGTCTGGGAGAATCTTCTCACCCACGTAATTTCGGGAGCTGAGGAACCCAAATTGGCAGATCAGACAACAGGCTGTTGATGCATGAGGCTGTGGGAACTGGTGAATCAGGTCAGGAAACGGGCCAAAAGTCTCACGAACTGACAGTCCTGTAAACTGGAGGCACACCATGCCCCCAGGGAATCTAAGGGTAGTGACTTGAGTCATACCCTCTAGTAAGGTGGGGACATCCTTAATCTTTGGTTCCACCATAATCCTTACTTATCCTTGCTTGTTGGTAGTGATTATGTGCTATAGAGCCTGTATAGGATTTCTGAGGCTGTAAATCTTTATGGAAGCAGAAAGCCTCATCATTCTCCCATGGAGCAGCTGTTTAGATTCGAACTGCTGACCTTGTGGCCCGACTTATAACCCACTATGGTACCAAAGGAGTCCTGGTGTGGCGCTGTGGGTTAATGTTCTAGACCGCAAGGTCGGTTTGAACCACTCCTCGGATACCCCAGACAGGGTCACTATGAGTCGGGACTGACTCCATGGCACTTAACAACAACAACTCTACCAGAGCGACTTGTTGTTGTTAAGTGCCTAGTTGTTGTTGTTAAGTGCCGTCAAGTGGGTTTCTGTGGAGCAGTTGGTTGGTTTGAACTGCCGACCTTGTGGTTCACAGTCCAGCGCTTATCTTACCACACCTAAAGCACCACACTAGGATTCCTTAGTTCCACCTTAATCTTGCTTCATTAACAACTCACTTCAAAATGGGCCCATAATCACATGCATGTGAAGCCTAATCACACAGCATGTTGAAGCTGTTGAGTCGGCTATGACTCAGCGATCCTGTATAGAGTTTCCAAGGAGCGACTGGTGGGTTTGAACAACCGACCTTGTGGTTAGCTGTCCAGTGCTTATCCTACAGCATCACACCAAGATTCCAGGCATGAGGATTTACAATACTTCATATAATGAAGAAATTTTGCTAGAATTGTTATAATAAATAATTCGCTGTCCTGAAATATATATATTTTTTAGTATTTTTTGCTCACGTTAATTTTTTCTTATTTCACTTGTTGCTTGGTGTTGTTAAATGCTGTACTGTCAAGTTGGTTCTGACTCATAGTGACCCTGTATAGGGTTTCCAAGGAGGGGCTGGTGAATTTGAATTGCCAACCTTGCAATTCAAATCTACTTTGTGATCAAGTGCTTATCCTACAGAACCACACCAGGACTCCCTTTTTTCTCTTGTTGTTGTTGTTATGTGCTGTGGAGTCCGTTCCAACTCAGCGACCCTGTACAGAGTTTCCAAGGCTGTAAATCTTTACAGGAGCAGAAAGCTTCATCTTTCTCCTGCAGAATCCCTGGTTGTTTCAAACTGCTGACCTTGAGGTTGGCAGCCCGACTAGTAACCACTATGCTACCAGAGCTCCTTATATATTGGTATAATTATAAATATACATGCACACCGACACCTCCTCTCCATCCCTCCCACATCATTTGTGAATCTACATGCCTATAGCCTTCTCTTACTACTTTTAACTTCCCAGACTTCACATTAGAATATTGATTCTCTGAATAATCTTGAGGGTACCATTTTATGCTTGTACTTTCAATTTCTCATTCATATAGAAAATGGAAAAAATACTCTTAAGTCTTAAAACTGTACCAGAAAGGGAGTTTAAACATTTTATCATCAAAGCCTACATACTCAGGCCTTGAAATCTGAAACTTGACTATCAAGTTGTCTAGAACAATTGTTCTTAATCCTGGCTACACTCTAGAATTTAAATAAATAAATAAATAAAAACTCTCAAAAACACAAAACACCTTGCCTTCTAGTTGATTCTGACTCAGAACAACCCTCGAGAACAGAATAGAGCTGCCCCCAATAGAGTTTCCAAGATGATGAATCGTTTACAAAACCAGATTGCCACATCTGTCTCTCCTAGAGCAGCTGGTAGGTTCAAACCACCGAACTTTTGGTTGGCAACCAAGTGCTTAGCCACCGTGCCACCAGGACTCCTCCCCAGAATAAACAGTGGAGCTTAAAAAAAAAAATGAATCAGATTATTTTAGTGTACAGTCAGTTTAGAAATTATGGGTCTAGAGTTAGAGAAATCAATTAGTTTCAATTCTTTCTGTCTTCTCCCTACCATACACACCCCTAGGGATAAAATGACAATTAACACATAAAGTGAATAAAATGTCAGACAAAAATCAGAATGTTTGGGAAAGCTGATGCTTTAGGGACAAGTGTGTCTTCTAAAATGGTGGTTCTTAGCCTTGAAGGCACTTAGGAGTCACACGGAGCCTTGCAGTTCCAAGTGTGGTAGTGGGGCCAGCAGCCAACAGTACCTCCTGGGAGTTTGATAGAAATTCAGACTCTCAGACCCCACCCCAGACCTATGGAATCATAGAAACTCTAGGGATGGGCTCAGAAACCTGTGTTTCAGCAAACCCTACGGGATTCAGGAGTCCTGGAGTGGTGCTGTAGGATAAGCACCAGACTACTAACAAGGTTGACAGTTCAAACTCACCAGCTGCTCCTTGGAAGCCCCTATACAGGATTCTTTGAAATTGGAAC